CTGGTTTATTCTTTCCGAATATAACTTTACCGATACACTCAACTTCAACAGTCGCGCTAAACAAACGCTATAACAACGAACGTGCTCAATAATACTTCTGACTGCAGGTCAATTACTCACTGTCTACACACACACATTACATTCTCCCGTTACGTTGTCACCCTCTTTTATATACCAGACTACCCTATATCTAGTAAATACTAGAGCATTCGCCAAGGTACAGGATAGTTCTAGAAAATAGGTGGCGCCACACCAGTCACGCAACAATACATTACTTAGTAAAAATAAATATGTATATGTATGTTTGCAGAAGTTAAACTTGATCAAAGATTTTACTCTAAAACTATTGTGTAAAATCTTTTCACCCAGTAGAGCTTTATTGTAACTATCCACTTACAATTTTCATTTTACACTCTAAGTAAACTTGCGACACGTTTCTTTCAATTTTTGAGATATGAATATTATCATTATACACTTAATCTTCTAATTCTTGAAAATCTCTAAGGGGCTAGGTGAAGAATGCAGTCGTGTTTAAAAATATAATAGGCCTGATACTAATATCTTATGACGGGTATAAGTAATTGTAATCATGCTTTACCATCTTGTAAAAGGCATTCACACCATAGCAACTGTTGTTGTGACAATGATGTTCTGAGAACTACTGTTTTTATTTGGATAAATGATAATAAAGAATAAATTGACACTTCTAAATGAAAACATTTTTCTTGTGTATTTTGTGCGACGGTTTCAGCAGACGCCCTTTGTCAGGCAGTAAAGACCGTGTAACGTTGAAACGTCGCTCAAAATAAACTAGAAAAAGTTTTCATTTAGACGTGTCAATTTGTTCTTTATTACCATATATTCTAGTTTTCTTCCCATGTCTTGCTGAACAACGCTCATGACGGAGGTTATGTTTCACCCCTAAGTGTGTATGTGTTTGCCGAAAACCGCTGTATGGATTTGGACGAAAGTTGGTATACATTTGAACTATGACACAACTTAGCAGTGATTATAAATAAATAGTTTATGGAGGGTCAAGGTCACTAAAATAATTCGAAAAATCCCTATCTGTTAATAACGTGGGGAACGATTTTTCACACTCTATAACTTAGTCAAAAATGGTTTGTGTCAGTTGATAACGACGGAAATATGGACACATTTTCGTATTTTTTGAGGACCGAATATGATCAACGCTGCGTGGCGGAGGTATGCGCTTTATTGAGTGCTACCTCTAGTTACATTCGAATTCGATGACGAAGGTGGACGGAGGTTATGTTTTCACCCATGTGTGTGTGTGTGTGTCTTTGTTTTCGTGTTTGTCAGCAATATTGCTCGAAAATGGCTGAACGGATCTGGTCGAAAGTTGGTATACATCTGGACTATGACCCAACTTTGAAATAATTTGTTTTTGGAGTGTCAAGGTCTCAGAAAAGTCACGATCGAAAATCCAAAAAATCCCTATCTGTTGACATGGGGACAGATTTTTAACACCATTTTTGCTCTATAAATCGACGCTTATACTTGTTTGTTTATTTTACAGCAAAGGAACATTAAACTATCTGCTGTGTCCATGGCGGGGAATTAACTCCGGATTTTAGTATTATAAGTCCGTAGACTTATAACTGTCTCACCGGTGGGCACTCTCATAATCACATTCATGTAATTTATTGCGCAAGTTTATTAATAATTAAAAACTAAAAATATTCGAGAGCATAAGCCTTTAGCAGAATGCATTCGTTAAAACACTATCACCTTTTCTAATATGTTGTTTATTTATGTCATCATTAATGTTTTTATAGTTTGAAATAAATTGGTCAACTCAAAATTTGTAACCATTGAGCTTTTCACATTAATTTTTCGAGAAATAAAAACAAACACTCAGGTGGCACCTGTAATTTGGAGGCTGGACGTTGTACGTCAGCAGTGCTGTATGGTATTGATTTATATCATCTGATAGTATGCTGTATCTTTTACTTTTGGCTTTAACTTAATCGTTAGTTAAGCTTATATATGCTGCATTGCTACAAACTATGCCTTGCGTGGTATTTAAATTTTAGGTATAACAACGCAATGATCTCTTCATATATAACTTTGTTATTAGTTACATTAGTTTTAATTTTAACTGTTTGCGGTGGTCATGGCACTAAGGATATCAGTATTAGTAGTAAGCCTAACCAAGTTTCGTCATTACCGATTATTTCGAAGGACGCTGTGAGTGTAAGGGAACGCTTCTTTTCTTATCCAATTAATTTCTTCCATGGGCTTGAACAGTTAACTCGACCAACAGTTATTAAGCATATCAAGTACGAACCTAGTAATGGTATTCATTCAGCTGAAACAAGGAGAGAAAACGTGGTTCAATATATGCATGATTTATTTGAAATTGAAAGGAGAAAATTTAGGCCAGATCCTAGTGATACTGTGTACGACTATGAGAAGAGCATAGGTAAGTTAATGAAATAACATTATGGTGGGATAATGTCTTAATCAGTTAATGAACCAACAATGCTTTGAAATCAAGGGTAGGGGATAGTCACTGTAACTTAAGTAAAATAAATTAGCATTGTGGATTTCATCTTTCATTCTTTGTAGTGTTATATCCATATATTTGTTTTACTGCCATCTGTTGATTTATATAAAAAAAAATTAACATGACACAAGTAAAAGTTTCTGTGAATTTGGTCTCCCAGTGGGACAGCAGTAAGTCTTTGGATTTACAATGCAAAAATCGGGGGGTTTATTCCCCTCAGTGAACACAGCAGATAGCCCAATGTGGATTTCTATAAGAAAACGCACATTGTGAACACGATTTCCACATTTTAACTTCTAAGTACATGTATAAATACACCAGTCTGTGGCTTATTTCCTGGACATAGAGGATGACTGTTATATTACAAACTAAAAGTTAAAAAACTTGGTTAATGAATATTTGAATATATATATATATATATATATATATATATACATATATGTAGAGCTGTTACTTTTTCACTTTTTAATTTCCAAGGGATGACCAAACCATTTGTTTCATTTAGACTATCATGTTTTCTATTACCACCCTGATTGAATCTATGTATAAACACTCTTTTCTAGTATCTGACACAGATCTCTCCTTAAACTCCTTTAGTGTTACAGCTTCCACCATATCTGAAGGCAAACTATGTCACTTCCAGAGGCTGGTCTCTCTTTGTAGAGCTGGAGGATTAATGAAAATTACTAATCGATTAATTAATTAGTATATGCATACCCTCTACTGGCACATCTGTACAAGCAAAAAGAAAGGCCAGTGTGTTATCTTAATAAGTTATTTGGATAGTATTTCATTTCTATGGATTTTTTTTTTACACAAACATAATACTTGATGAATGAATCACAAATGTCAACTGAACATCACTACATGTTCACCATTAATGTGTGGCATTATGTTTCTTTTTTAAAATACGTAGTAATCTTGCACTAATCTACTGTAAAAATAAAATGATGGAGACATATTTAACTTTTACTGTCACCAATAAGGTTGGTATTGTTTTTACATTAAAAAAAAGAAAATAATGATTATACATTGTTTAAATAACGTAAACAAAAATAATACTCAATAAAGTTTTTAGTTCTCAGAATATTTTGTACTTGCCTGCATATTCACCATGTTACCAAATGATAAATTTAACTAACCTTATTTGGTAAACGTAATAAACGTAATAAAAGAAATTAATGTTTACAAGCATTACCACTCAATAAAATCATATTATATCTATCAAAAAGTAAAAACATCATAATTTTAAGCAAAGAACCAGATGTTAACAAGATACCTTTATTAAACCTTAATAAATCTCCAGTCGTGTGACTGTTTCATATTGTGGGTGTATATATACATATATATCTTCCTGTGTCTGGGTAAACTACATGTACCTAATAGTCATAAGACCTTCTACAAACATTTTACATTTGTTATTACGTTATACTTTTAATAGTTTTCTTTGGTACCCCTTCTGCCTGTCTATAAAATGTACATCTCATGTTATCTGAACTCTTCTCATTCAACATTATGTAAATTTCTGTAACTTTCAAACAAATTCTTTCACATTTACAAAAAAAAAAAGGAACTGAAATGGCAGAAACTATAAAAAAAAAAATTAAACCTGCATATTTACTATTAGTAATAGTCTAATTCTTGCTCTATCCCTAGTAACCAATAATACTTAAGCTTTATCTATAGCTATTTTTCATTACTAATTGATCAAACCACTTAATGTGGTACCATCAGATTTCAACCAAGGCCCTAGGCCTGAACAAAAAGTAAGGGAAACACTTGAAAATAAATAAATAAATGGACAATTTGTTCACAAGGCATGATAGGCAAAAATAAAGGACTTCTTTGGGATGGGCAAAATGATTTCATAAAATTAAATTGACAATTGGATTGTTTTGTTTACAGGCTGCTGCTGTGTAGAATTAAAAATATGAATTTCTTCATGAATTACACTAAATAGATCAGAAAATGACAAAATATTGTTCTGAAATGGTTTTATCTCAATTCTGGACTGCCCTCTAAGCATTGTTAAAATTTTTCACTAACAGCGCACCTGTCTTTTATACCCCATCAGTTTCGTGCTATTTCAGAGCATGTGCTAATCATGTGACAACCCCCCACCAATCCTATTGTGCCATCTGTACTAGTGCAGCTAGCTACCTCTACTACTCTAGAACAATTCTCACTTTCTCAATTGGCATTCTAATGTGTAAATGTATGTTTTCACTCATTCCTCACGTGAGTACAAAATTTTGATTTTCCTTGATCACAAATTTATTTTTGTTTCAACTTCAGATTTCATGTTGTTGTATTTGATTTCTATCATTTTTACTCCTTTGTTTTAGAAATATTTCTGCTTTACAAATTCTAATTTGTTTATATGAATTTGAGATTTAATATGGTGGATGATGAAATTTCCTTGAAAGTTTACAATGGTTCTGACACAAGTCCCCAGGTCTTTGGGGTCTGTGATGTCTGCTGGAGAAATACAGGCTATAGTTTGTGTCTTGCATTCGGCTGACCATTCCTTCTGTTCACATTATGATTTTTTGTGAGGAAGGATATAACTACTACATGGAAATTTCTTTATACTGAAATTTCCACCTGTTACCATGCCACCATGTAATCTCCTGGGTTATGTATTGTTCTATTTTCCTAGGATATCTGTAGCTATAACTAAGTAATTACTCAAATGATTTGTAACCAAGGGAAATGAATAATAATAAATAATTTTTAATAGGCTAATATATATTTGGCCAAAGTATAAACCTAGTATTTTAAATATTCTTTAAGTAGTCTAAATTTATAGTAAAACAACATAAAAATTAGAATCAATATAAATTTATTTAGTAAAATAAGACTTTTTATTGTCATGATTTTATCTTACAAAGTTTGAAAACCATTAGGGAATGAGTAAGGATGCTTGGAACGTTTTTTCATGATATTATGAACATAATACATAGACAATGTAAAAAAAAAAAAAAAAAGAAACTTTATAGTTTATTTGACACTAATGAGTAAAGTATGCAAATTATAAGTTATAACACAGTGTAAAAAAGATTTTATAATTTACATCATATGAGGGATGGATCCAAGGCTTTGTAGAGGAGGAGAGGTCCAACTAGTCCTTTACTAGCAATACTTATAAATGTACATTAATGACATTGTAGTACTTTTAAATATGGAGGAGGTTCAAGACCCCTATAAGCACACCTGTTTATAAAAATTAAAAAATTGAAGGGGTCCAGATCTCCTCCCCCTAGATCCTCTGCTGCTAATACAACAAAAAAGAGTAGTTATTAATCTCTGAAAACAGTTGGTGGGGGGTTCAGACTTCTTTGTCCTCTATATCCATGCCTGCTTATACTGTACTAAATAATAGTTACCATATAAAATTAGAGGCATAACACAGTGTAAAAAAAATTGTAAATTTACACTTTTTTATTTAACGCTTAAGTAATAAGAGAGTTGGTGATGGGTACTGCTTGTAAGTAATTGATTAATTTGCCCAGCTCTGTATAAAACATACTATCCTATATTAAGAGGATATAGAGGAATAATGAAATAAGTGTAATATTCATATTAAAGAATGGCTTATGCAACATTGAAATAATGGTTCTTAAGAAATTGTCATTTAATAATAATTTCACTTAACCAAAATTACTAGATCATGACTGAATACTAAGTAAACTGTACATACTGTAGGTGTTAAGAAGAAAGTAGAGTTTGTACTAAATAAAAGTAAAGTGGCCCATTTTGAAACTGTAGCCTCACTATATATATGTGTGTAAGAAAATACTTTGGAAAGCTGATAAATAGTGAACCAGTAACCAACAAACTGGACATCGTTTTGAAAGCATAAATATGTGTAAGAAGATACTTACGATGATGAACCACTAAACTGGATATTACTCTAACTAGATGTTGATGAACTTAATAGTTTTAGTGCATACAGTATCTACATATATATCTAGTGTATGAACTCTGACAAGACTAGTCATTTACTACCTATAAGTAACCAGTTTAATTGTCCAAGAACAAAAAAATTTAATGTGATTTTGTATGGTTAGTTATTTTAAAACCTTAAGAAATTGCACAGGGAAGAAACTTATCCAAAATGTGTCTTAATGAACATAATTTTCAGAATACAATTGAAATAATTGTAAAAGCATTCAAATGTAATAATATAGTACAGTATTAACATAAAAGAAATTTATATGAAGTATACTGTTATCGCTAATACTATTACTATGTTTCTGTAGTGTTTGACAAATCCGTATTGCATAGCACTTTCATAGGGTACCTTGGATGTTCATACTTTTGACTTGTAATTTTACTATCTCATTTAATTTATGTTCACTTGTTTTCCATTTTCAATGGTTTTTGTTTCTTGAGAGTAAATCTGATCTCACTTTGCTTGTATTGGAATTAATTTAATTAATAATGTTAATAGCTGAGAATAAAATAGGTAAAAAAGGCTGTATTAAAATCAGTTGCTTTTAGTATGTTTGCTTTTTTGTTTTAAATGATATTCAGTAATTAGTGTATGCTTACAGACCTTTTTATAGCATTTTTCCTTGTTCAATATTTCACAAAGACAGATATTACAATTATCATGTACAATGCTGTAGTATTATATGATTTTATATGTGTACTTTTTTTTTCTGGCTTGTATATGGAATATAAATAAATACATTCATTTCTGAGGAGCATTTACTTTGCTAACCAGTGTGCAAAAAGATTATTTGGAAATAAGGTTTCTTTTCTCACTTTATTTTTCCTTGCTTGGATCTTGGTTGGTTTTGAAATGATTACATCCAGTTTGACCTGCTTGGATGTCTTCTAGTTGTCAGTGAAGATAAAGACTATCATCTTGCACATTCCCTGTAATATTTTAGTAGAACTGGATCAACATTCTAGTGATAGTCATCACAGTGCTTGTTCTTATTTCATTGTCTGGAAATATATATCATTCTTTTCACTCGTATAAAGATCTCTCAGCAACATGTTTGACAAAACTGATTAAATCATGAGACAATATATCAATTTGAGAAATAATTTTGTTTTTATTCTTTTATAACATTTCTGAGTATACTAACATTAACATATAATGATTCCTATTAGAATATTTTGTATTATTTAGAAACAGTTTATTGAATGAGTGTTACAGTATGACTCAAGATGTGCTTTGGTGTGTTTGTTAATTAATTTGCATGGTCGTTGACACCCGACACCTTTTGCTTTTTTGATTTTCATGCATGTACTTGGAATTTTCTTCAAAAAAGAAAATGGGTTATCAAAATGTTTAGCCCTGAACATTTGATCTTGAGTTTTGTCAAACAGTATTAATGAAACCTTTTGTATTAACTAAAATACTTTTAATACTAGTAAAAACAAAATTATACATAAAATACAGCATTATTTTTGTTTTTAAAAAATGTAAAAGTATTCTTACAATTTTTAAGCTTGATTCAGAATAAGTTTATGGTCATAAAAGACTTGAAATTCATATGTAAAACTGGTAATTATAAGTTATGGCATGATAAATGAGGTTACAATTTTATATATATATATATATATATATATATATTAATGTTAATATTGTTTTTTTAGATCTTTAATTTGTTATTGTAAATCCACATTTGATCTCATTACGGGTGTACTATGATTTTTTTAACCTTGAATTTTGTATCAACTAAGTTCACATTAAGATGTTTTCATAGGGATTGTGTGGTTTTGTATAAGAGCCAGATTCTTTACAATAGGTGTTTATGACTTGTTGGCAATAAATTTCAACAATAAAAGGACTGTATACAATCTATTGTTTACCACAGTTGAATCTAGAACTTTAAATAATTCTCTTTTTCATCAAAAGTCCACTCAGGCTGGTTCAATTACTTCAGAACCCAATTGACAAGAAGAATTATTTCTTCTCTCCTCAGTTATTACAATACAATCAGTGCTAAATTAACTACATTATTTTGTGTGTTATCACAGTTGTATCCAGAGTTTTAAATAATTCTCTTATTTTGTCAAAAGTCCACACAGGTTTATTCAATTACTGTATTGCTCCTAATTAATGCCCCTCTCTAATTATCGCCCCCACAATATTTTTATAGAGCTTACCTTGTGTGACAGCAATAGTAATCCAACATATAATCCAATTTTATTACCATACTTTTGGTTTGAAAAAATAAGAAACACACACGCACATTTATTAGCATTGAAATCAACACATCACATGTGAATAATAGAATCCGGAATTCCACAAATACTATAATTAGTACCCCCTTTTCAATTTCCAGTGACTCTGGGGTTACATTATAATCCAGGAGGATTTATTCTTCTCTATCATTACAATACAAGCTGTGAAACTCACTTCAAAATCACCACTATAACTATTAGTTACCATTATTGTCTCCGTTTCATCAAAGTCCACACAGGCAGGTACAATTACTTTAGAATACCCTTTGACAAGATAATTTCTTCTTCTTTATCTCTGTTGTTATAATACCAACTGTGATACTTTCACTTTAAAAATAGCCTGTTAAAACTAAACTTACAATCATGCAGTCTTACTGCATTTTTTTTCACTTTTAAGTTTGACTAACTTATTTACTTACTCTCTGTGTCTACACATTTATAACATGCCACAGAAAAATCTAGAAATATTTAGTTCTCTAGTAACAACAATATTACAGGTAACGAAAAAAAACTTGGAAACTCTGAGTAAGATGATGTCAACAATATTACAAAAGCCTAGTGCAACAGTTAAACTATATACACAATGTATGACTTGTACATAGTTATGTAAAAAAACTTGTCATGACTATTGCTTTTAAAATAATTAACTTTTAACACTCTTGTTATGAAAACTAATCATTAAATATTAAATCACTAAATAAACTAAACTCTTAAACTTAACAATCTTGTATATCCAACAGGGATTTTTAAAAAATATTATACTCTGTATCTAAAGCATCCCAGTTGTTTATTACAATATAATTTTTAAACATTTAACTAATGGAACAGTGCATTCTGGTCTACATATGTGAGAATACAAGAAAAGTATATTTAATTAGCTATATTCATTACCAGATAGGGAGCTTGTTCTGACTGGAAGTTAAAAAGTAAACCCATGTTCTTCCAATTGTGTAGGTAAAAGTGGTATTGAAGATGGTGAATATGGTAGTAAAGAATTGGAAAAGAGTTCAAATTCAAATTCTGAGAAGAATACCGATGAAAGCCTGATGCAAAGTGTGAATGAAATGGACACTTCAAATTTTTCTGCTCCTGAAGCATATGTACATAAAAAGCCCTTAGAGAAGGATTCTCGTTCAATGTTTGGAGATATGTATTTTGTTGGTAAGTGAAGACATCTAGTTACTTTTTTTTTAAACATGCATACAAACATGAAACATATAGATACATTTATACGAACATGATGAATTATACAGCAGGATAAATTTGTGAGTAATAACACTAATATAATTTTAGGGTGTATTTATGGATATATTGATTCTTAGTCAAAGGAGGTATTATCTATGCAAATCACTAGTAAGGCCTCACTTGGGTCACTGTGTATGAATAGCGTACAGTATTGGTCTTACCTTAGAAAGGAGATTGATTTGTTGGAAAGGTCAGAGGAGGGTACTGGGATGAAAGGTAGGTCAAGATACTTTCTTATGAGAAAGGAAGAGTAAGTGGTAATATTATTTAAGTTTACAAGATTTTTCATGGGATTGATAGCATAAAGGGTTGTGATTTCTTTGTGCTGTATCCTGGAGATAGTAGGATGAGAGGACAAAAGCTTAAGATTTGGAAAAGATAAGCTAGGATGCAGTTAAGATAGTTTTAATTTTCTGATAGGGTGATTAACTAGAAGAATTAGTTACTGTCAGCAGTAGCACAGGCTGACACTTCAAAAGAGTATAAAGTGGAAATCAGTGATTTCCTGAAAAGCAAAGAGTGGGTTTAATTTTCTTACTTTTCTCAAGTGTGAGTGTACAAGACAGCCTTGAAGTACCAAATGATAACTTGTCTGTAGGTTATGCTCATGATTGAGTACATTTGCAATGTAAAATCAAAATATATATCAAGATTATACTCAAATTCTTACTTTTACCATAGTGTTTTCAGAACTGGTCTGTTTGTTTATATTTATGCACACGTAAGAAGTAAATGATGTATGACCATAAACTAAGGCATCACAGGGAATAATTTGTCTGGGATTGCACCACACTTTGTGATCCAATATTATCTTTGCTTAGGACAAACTACAATGCAATGTTTCTTTTATTTGTATGATTGTAATATTCAGTTTGATGATAGTATTGCTGGATACAAAAACACTTTTGAAGAGTTAGGCCTAAATTATGGCCATTTTTTAAGTTTTAGAACAAGGTCTGATTTCAATTTTGTAAGATAAAAAATATATTTGGATAGAAAAATAGATTATGTGAATAGGTTTAGTGAAGAAAGGTATATTATGGTAGCATTTATCAGGTTAAGAATTTATAGAAGTATAATATTAAAATATTTTTTTTTACAGAAACGAAATAGTCTTTTAAACATTTTTCTTAAGAATCAAGTAACTTTATCCACTATTTTTTCCTGAATTGTACACACGTGTAACAGCATGTTAGCCATATTGTGGTGAATTTTTATGCAACATTTCTGAAACAAATTCATCCTCTGCAACTTATTCGTGTCTTTTTTTATGGAACACTTATAAAATTTTCGCTGTCCAACAGATAGTGATACTGTAGAAGTTACCTAAATACAAAGTAATCACATTGTTGCAAAACATAATATAAAATGTATCTTGTGATGAAAAATTAATAATATCTTACAAAATGATGTACAAGTAATATTACCCATAATGGTAATTTATACTTTCTGACATTATTGTGGATCTAGGGTAAATGAACACTGAAGTCAGGGTACTCATTGCTTTAAAAAAAAGTAACAAAATGTTTTTGTTTTGGGTTCCTATGGTACTTTTTTGTTTCATTTCATATTTGAGTCTTTTTTTTTTTTTTTTATATACACACTTCTATACCTTTGCATGTGTTGGCAGAGTGAGGGAAATATTTTTTTGTGAATTCTCAAAAGTTTTCATTACTGGCAAAATTTTCTACTCTCACCATTGCATACTTTTGACAATTTTTTTTCTTTTTTTAGTTATAAATGAACAGTACTTTCAGAAGATGAGGATCTTGGGCATGATTTTCAATATGTTTGCATTGATTTTTGAACATGTTATCAACTACATGATGTCAATTACACTGTAGAAACTTATGATTGATATAACAGTAGAATGTTATGGGTTGGTCAGGGTATATTTTTCTTGAAATAACTTTAATTTAACTTGGTGGCAAAGGAATCCTAACACAGTGTTCTCATCCATGAACGAGGATATTTTTTCTGGCATGTATTCCACTGTGTATTTCTTCATAGATGTTGGTGTAATAATTGCAAATTCCCAACTTGTTAGTTCTGTATGTTGCTCCACTCATCACACTGCAAGCCCAGTGTTTGTATTTCAGCTTTACATTATAGTCAGCTCTTTCATTAGAGTTGACAGATGAAATCTGGTTGGAAGTTCTAGAATTGTACTTGGGAACTAGAAAACAACTGATAATTTTGGGCTCTCAGTTGTATTTAATGTATGGCATGTGTCTATTGCTGTTACTCGCAACTCTCAACCATAAGTTTGCTACCAGCAAGCCTACCTATGTTGGATTAAATTTGAACTTGAATGACATGGAATTGACAAAAGATTTGTTTGCAGTGGTGAAGCAGTGTATGATATGGTCAGTTAGTTTCTTTAATTGGGTTTTCAATAGACACAGGACACATTCACATTGGCTATTTCATGTTCACTTTCACTAATGTTCTGTCTTTGGTTCAAAAGTAGCCTACTGATTTTCTTTTTATATCTATTAACACTTGAGTGTTTGCTAGTTTTCATGCTAACAAATGTCCAAGTTTCATTAGGACATTTCTTACAATTCTTAATGTGGTTACTTATTTTGAGAAATACATTTTCCTATGTTACTTAGAACTGGAAGTTTTTGTTTCTTTATTGCCAGGAAATGCTTCCTTACACTGATTTTATTCTTAACCATTCATACTAAATAATTAGTTTAATGCTTCTGAAGTTCTCAGTCACTTAAATCACTGAATTTATCAGCTGAATGATGTATGCCTGTATTTCTTATATCAAAAAAGTGTAACAGCACACAGAATTTTTGGAAGTTGCCAGATCATTTCTTTAAGCCTATACTTGGCCAGGACCTAGAATGCTCTCAGCTCTTCAATTCTGAGTGACCAAATGTTAGAGTCATTTAGAGTTCAGTTGAAATTGTAAAAGTAATATTTAAAATTTTCCTTACTAGATAGCAGGATAAATTATGTTTGTTGTGGTGTCTGGTGAATGTTCAAGCAATTGATTGCTGACTGATGATGCTAACTTTTCACCATATGATGCATACAAGTCCATGTAAGAGATACAGTATAAACAAGCTTTCCTAACTTGATAGCATCTGATGCATGGTTCATACTTAATTATGCTTTAAAAACTGAAATAATTATACATAGCAAATTTTCATAACTATTAGCAGGATTTTATCAAACATAAAGCAAACAATTAAATTAGGTAATAAGTGGGATATCGCATCACAGTAAAACTGATAATAATTTTAAACCACATTATTTTTTTACTGGTCCAGTACGGACTTCTGGGAATTAAAACATTTAATAGCATTTGAACTATATTTAGTTGTAAGTCACTACTGACAATTATTATTGGTCATAATGCAGTGTAATACTATATATTTTATCATGTTTGAATTATTTTTTTTAGTCCTCACCAGTAATAGATGTTTGTGAAGGTATTTAAAGTTTACGAAACATTTCGATGTCAGATTTACTCCTTCATACTATTTAGTGGACAAATTATTTGGAATAATGTAGTTTTTCCTTCATTATGAGAACTATGAAATTTTGAAAAAAAAAAGGAGATAAAGAAATGTTGCCCAGATTTTCTGGCCATATTACTGTGTTTGACTGGTTTTAAGGATTTCCACCCCACATTACTAATCTTGGATAAGGGCAAATGAAAAATAAGGCTAGATCTCATGCAGTGATGGATTGTAACTTACAGTTATGGTTTTACCTGATGATGACAAAACCTTGTCGAAACGTTGTACATTTGCTGTTATGTTAAACTTATATTAAAGTTTTTCTTCATTACCCATTCAAGCCGTCTCCAACCATTATTATTCTACAGTTATGGTGTTTGAATTATTTACCTTTTTCATTTAGGTATATGAAGGATTAGTATAATTGGTTCTATTAATACATTTTATATTACAATTCGGTAATTTGGTTTGTCCAGACATCAGAGCTTATTCAACAGCTGAATAAGCTGATGTTTTCATACTTCCCAGGAACAGTATAACCAAAAAACCCTATTAGTGTACTACCATGCTAGGAAGTACAGTAGGAAGTTACAAATAACAAACTGACACACAGAAGGTCAACTAACTTGAGACTTTATTATGTAGGATAGTAACGATACTAGTAAGTTTGATTATTTAGTAAAAGTTATTAATCAGACTTTGTAACATATTTTTAGTTTGTATGCATACATCCATTTAATTTTGATATTTTCTAAAGCATTTGATTCTGCTTTATGTCAAAGAAACATTATTTTAATTGATTCATGTAATATTCAGCAGGTTTAACAGTTTTCAAAGCAATCATCCTAATCTCTATCAGTTTGGTTATTTATTTTGATTTGTATTTTTCTAAATAATTAGTCATCATGAAGCATAATTTTTTTTAAAGGAACTTAACTATGTCGTGAAATAAGCTGTTGCATTCTTGTAAAATTACGCTCGTATCAGTATATGAGAGGAAGATCATCACTTATCATTTATTGAAGGCACACTGTAATGTTCACTTTCTAATTAAGTTTTCTCACTTAGACATCCTTTTTTAGTACTTAAAGTTAAGGAGTTTAGGTTGCAGACTAATAGCAATAGCTACTCAGCATTTTGTGGGAGCTCCTGATTTCCGAGAACAAGTTCTCACTGTACTCTTTGCTGTTAGGGCTGATAGAAATCTTGGTGCTGAGATGATATTGAAAACCTTCTTTTTTATGTTTTCCACTAGATAATAACAATTAGATTATTGCTTAAAAAGTGATAATGGTAAATGAAAAATACAAAATGTTTAGCTAATATCATTAATGTTGTAGATGCATTCAGAAATTCTAGAATGAGTAGACTTTTTATAGGTGGTGCTAATGGTAGGAGCCTTTTATGCCACTTCCACTATCTCTTATCTTACCCTCACTTAATTGTGAAATTGGCAGTATAAATACTTTCTCTATCAAACTATTTTATTGCTTGTTTCTGTTGCTCTTTGAATAACTTTACTTTAAAGTGAAGATCCAACTTAACCTAAGGTTAAGTGGATTCCTTTGTGTTCCAGCAAATCTAGTTTCACACCATTCTCTCTTGGATGCTTTTGTTGTTTCTTGTCCAAGGTGGCTTGTGTTATTCCTCAACGGATATCGATAAAGAAAAGCTTCAGTTGGAATTACTTCACTGTGGAATTTGTGAAGTCAATGTTTTTAGTAATTTCTTCAAATGGTTTTAGCAATTTTAAACATTTCTCCAGTATGGATCATTAGTTATTTGTTTTTTCCAAATTCATAACCTAAGTAAATGAATGTGTAAAAATATACATGGAATGTTGCCCAGTGAAGCTTCAGTAAGAGGACAGAAAGCTCACAGTTAAAGGAAAATTAATTTAATGTGGAAAATAGTTCAAGTATATTTTTTACATTATTGGCTATTGTTGAGGTTGATTTACCTGCTACTGGCATACAGGTAAATTTTTCTTTGTTCTAAAAGTCTTTCAAGGAGATAATGTATTCAATTCTATCTTGTCTGTACATCTTACACTATTGTATTGTTTGGTATATTAAAATCATTTTGCATATAAGTTGTGGTTTGTGGAGGAAATATGATTCACTTCACAATCCAGCATCACTATAACTTTTCATAATATTTACATCATTATCTCTTATTAAGAAAGATGAGTGTTTTTCAGATCTTCCAACATTTCTCTTATAGCATCACCAGTATAACTTGGAGGAAAATAATTGATGTTAAGAGCAGCATGTTGTAAGTCCATATGTTTTATGATCCAGTTTCACAAAAAAATTAACAAAACTGTTCTTTAGTATGAGCGGATATCTGACGTGTGAGAAATGACATTAACATTCAAAATCTGACCAGCAATTGCAGTGTTGCATCTTTCTATATATATTGGATAATTTTTGTCAGAAAAGCCAGTTTTGGTTGGTAACTTGTATTGTGGTTGTGCTTTCTTAATCAAGTAAACAAAACCCCCCCTCATTAGTTACAATTGTTAGTTACTCAGTGCCATTCCACCAGTTGTGTAATGCTACTCTTTAGCATAGTGATTATTAATATCCTCTAGTTTTGTTATTTTTCTTTTGTTTTTGTAACATTTCTGAATAATTTGTTGTTTGGTTAATACTCAGAACTTGAAGACAAACTCAACTTCAATGTTAGACTTAGTAGATTTTGAAGTTTGTTGCAAATTTGGATAATATTGAGCATACTTTTTTTTTCCTCAGATGATTGTGGTTCGAGGTAATAGAAGCTGTTTACCCTTTGCCACCATGTGAAACTTGTATGTTATGTTACACAATTCACACTTAGTACTAGTCTTAGCAACCACCAACTGAGAGTCTAAGAGATCTGTTGGTGTCTTTGTTTTCTAACTCTTGCTAAGACAGCATTTGCTTATATGTTATAAGTTGCATACATTGCAGGGCAATACTACAAGTTGAGACTTAAAAAAACATTGGACATATCCAGGTAATACTTAACCATTAATAAAATTATTTTGTCTGTAGAAAAATATTAACAGTTGTAGACACTAGATGAGGCCAACTGCAGTATAAATATTTACTTGGAATTATGATTAATAATTTTTTGTTAAAGCATTCGTATTGCTTTCTACTTGGTCAGTAATTTGTTTACATTTTTTTCCAATGTTTCATATTTACTTTAATAATGGTATTTATATATTATATATTTACTTATTTACGTCTTATTGTTTTCAATGTCATGGGAAGCTAATGAAACTGGTTGAGTATGTCCACTATATAATGGGTAAATATCTGGTAGAAACACTATTAATTACATCTCTACTGTTCAGCACAATGTTTGAAAGGACATAATTTATTTCTTCACCACCAATATTGGGAATTTTGTCAAAAAAAAAGTGGGTTGCCCAGTTTTAAATTTGAATCGATCTCAAATATTTCTAAATTCTGTGAGTAAATGATAATGTTTGTTGAGAACAACAATTTGTTCTATCCATTTTAGGTTTGTACTTCTTTTGTTTTAACTATTTACAGTGTTGAAATTTGATGATCTTGTATCTAAAGTTGAATAAAGTTACCTTTTACACATTACCATACTTTTTGCACTATTCTTGGCATAGCTTCCAAGGATGTGGTACTCATTGGTTTAAATCTTGCAATATATTTGTTGTGATTTATTGAATGAATCTGGTCTAATTGCATTGATACAGAAAGCTTGTTAAAAAAATGAGAGAGAGAGATAGTAAAATTCAATTTTCACATCAAGAACTAATGAATGTTTCATTTAGTGAGTTTTAAGCTTTGAGGATGTAACATGGAAATGATATATCATGTGAGATATTTACACTGTTAGTGGTAGCACGTTTTCAGTGTACATGTAGACTTTATTAGATGGGTAACATTTCCAGTTATGTGATGTATGAACAAGTCAAGACCATTTGAATGATAACCCTATCATCTAATATCTTTATTTTTTAAAGAAAAACAAATTTTATTTATTGAAATCTTGTATAATTATATGTTTAGGGTATATTTTATTGTGTTTTGTTTCATTAAGTTTTTTTTTAATTATGTAGCCATTGTTGCTGGATGTGGGGCTGCTACTATGTGTGGAGTTGTTGTTTTGGGCTACTGTTTCTATATGTATGTATTTGATTTTGATATTTATTCTTGAGATTTGTAATCTTTTGTTAAATCAGTCAGTAGATCTTTAAGTATTAAATGATATTTAACCAATGAATATCAAGCAAATGTTAAAATATTTAGTGTTTTTAAAAGAAAAAAAAACTAAGCAAAGCTAATAACAATGATTTTATATTACCTTATTTAGGTGATGCTAGTTTTGCTGTTACACAAATTTATAAAAACAAAATGTTTGAAATTAAAAACTAACTTTTCTTAGCTTGTTATAAGTCATTGCATTAGATGTCTTTCATGCTCAATCATAATTGAACTGCTGCTTAAGAGTCATCAAATTATATTTAGTAGTTGAGAAGCTATTATTTATATTGAGCAGCTGGTATCATGGGTGCTTGAGTACCTCCAAGATTTATTGATGCAGACCTCTTCAATCTAATAACATAAGAAAAACTTCCATATGTGGGAAAATCCATACATAAAGTATTTAGCCTTTAAGGTTACTTTCAGATTTTGCTTATTCTGGTGAAATAACAAACTACAGTTATTCCCCATTTTACCAGCTTAAGGTCATTACATATTTGCTTCATGCTGTTTCACACTTAATTTTGGTTCCAAGGCTTCTTCTGCTGATTGACAACTATAAATATTCCGTAGAAGATATTTGATGATGATTAATTACATAAACCACTCAGAAGACAATCTCCTGCTCAGTTAGTTTGTCAACAGTATTGAATCTGTATGAATTACAATAATATCAATTTACAAAAACAAAAAATATATGACCAATTTTATTTTTTATTTGTTTTTAGTCACAGCTATTTGTTAGTGTATTGTAACTATCCTTGAAGAAATAAAATCTTCTATAAAACTTGATGGTTTGCTTACATTTTTATTTTTCCTTGGATTATCTATTAAACAGATGGTAAAAATATGTTGCTTCCATTATTTTTTGGGAAAATGGCTCATTTGGTTATTGTTTTTCCATACCTACTTATTTAAGATACCAGAAGAAGACTAAGGCAGCTGCTGTAGTAGTGTATCCCGCATACGGAATGACTCAACCGTACAGTGAGGAGGATGCATTGCCTAGTGGTGATAGAAAGCTTGCACAGAGTGCTCAAATGTACCATTATCAGCATCAGAAACAGCAAATGATTGCAGTAGAGAAGTAATAATTTTTTTTTTAATTTATAAGCGTTACATTTGTCATGGATATAATATTCTATTTGAAGTTAAATGTACAGTTAGCAGGATGTTACATCAATAAACAAATGTAGTAAAATTCTATATCTGTTTTAAATGTATATTGTATGTTTGATTTTTAAAAATATATATTAAAATACAATTAATTTTTTTACTGGACATGCCTGTTAATGAGTTGTGTAATGCATATAAATCGTTCTTCGTACCTTATAGCTGTTAGTAATTGAAGTAAAGTATATGAAGAGCATATATTATTGCAATAAGTAAGAAAAGTTGTTTATATGTATTTTTTTTTCAATATAGTACTGAACTGGTTTTGTCATTTAAATCAAAGCTGAATTTGTTAATTAAAGATTGTGTAATTTATACTTTAATGATCAGTTTTCTGGAAGCAAGGGTTTCTTATTCTTATTTATTATTCTCTAAAATTGTAATTTGATTAATTCTACTACAATTAAATAGCCATTTATTGTATACTCATGTGATACCTTGGACAATTTATTAGTGGCTGTTATGCTTTTGAATACATATTACTCTTTTGTTTTTACTGTCTTTTTCATATCAGTTTTTCTGTTCTTTTATTATTTGCCTTGCTGACACTGAAATACCTCTGTAACCTTGGTTCTCCTTTATTTTGTTTTATTGCTGTTGTTGAGTTCACTATACTTTTTTTTAAGGGATGAGCTTTGCATTTCATTCCATTTATTTATGGTGTGTAAGGATAAAATGTTTAGTTGCACCTCATCATATAAAGGTTTAGGTTTCTTTTAATGTTATAAATTTTGTAATGATACAAGCTTACATGCATAAGGATATATATGAGAGATAATTTCTCATTTTTCCAGAGCTAAAGCACAGTTTTATGCATGCTTACGACATAATAAGATTTTATTTTATCTGCTCTTACTACTTAATAATAATTTTACCATGTTAACTGTTTAATTATACTGAAGTTTGACAGTCATAATTTGGAAAACTGTATTTCCAATTTGAGGTTAAATGGAACACAGTGGGACCCCGTTATACAACACAGTGGGACCCCGTTATACATTGCATCACTCTGTGTCATTTCATTATTAGAGCATTCACCAATTACTACCCATGTATCACACAATGTTGCTTTGTTTCATTACTAGAGGGATCTAACGTCGTTCGACTATTTTCCAAGTTCAGTGTTTACCAATTGCTACCAATATTTTTCAAACATTGTCACCTTGTTTCGTTACTACGGTGTTAAAACATTAACAAACTACTTTACCTGGCGCAATGTTCACCAATTACTGTACAGTACTGTACTACCAGTATGTGTGTGAAGCAATGTTGTCGTGTTCTGTTACTAGAGCGTCCCAATGTTGTACTAGTTTACTAGGTGGAGTGTGATACATCGTCCACTGGCCAAGATGGCAGAGGATATAAACACATTGTGTTTGCGAGCCATTGTCTAAGCACGTTGTTTTTTCTGCAGAAAAGCCTTATTTCCACCATTCCAACATGACTCCAAAGCAGTCATCTGGTGATAGTGAAGTGCCCCTTGATGAGAAGCCCAGGAAAACAATTAACTTTGGCACTGTTTTGTTTTTTAATGTTCTTACATGCATATTTTGTATAATACACTGTAGTTAAAAATGCCATGTTACCTCCTTTAAACAAGTTATTCAAGAGTGGAGTGAAATTTTTCAGGAACGCATCCCCACAATATGTCTAAAGATTGTGTTGCTTAACATCATTTTAGACGTACATCCCACTTTCCAGGAATGTATCACGTACAATGGGGACCCCTGTATTTAATGTATATTGCATTTTAGTTGCCCAATATTATAAATTTGCCATCTTGCTATCCATTTAAAATTAGCTGTATAAGCAGAAAGTGCTGCTGATTAATTACTACCCCCAGTGTGTACAAGTATAAGAACAATATCTACTTTATGTATTAATATTTTATTGATTTTTTTTTTTATTGTTAGGTCAGCTTCTGACAGACCAATGTCGGTGTCTGATATCGAATCTGAAGATGAAAATGAAGAGGGAGACTACACTGTGTACGAATGTCCAGGGCTAGCTTCAGTAAGTTGATCATGCAAGTTCTAAGACATAGGAATATTTAGAACCCTTAAGGAGTTGACTTGGAAGTGTTATATTGTATCCTTCCCAGTTTAGACAAAATGTTTAACAGTAAGTTGCAGTGCAAATGTTGGAAAAACATAAAATGTTATTAATGAAATAACTCGGAAAAAGTAAATGCTGGGATAGAAAGCATACATCAACTTTAGGGAAGCTGTTAAGTTTGTTTGTTGTGAATTTCGCACAAAGCTACATTAGGGCTATCTGCGCAAGCCATCTCTAATTTAGAAGTGAAAGACTAGAAGGAAGGCAGCTAGTCATCACTGCCAACTCTTGGGCTACTTTTTACAAACGAATAGTGGGATTGGCCATTACATTATAATGCCCCTCATGGCTGAAAGGCCGAGCATCTTTGGTTGGATGGGGATTCGAACCCATGACCCTCAGATTGTGAGTTAAGCACCCTAACCACCTAGCCATGGTGGGCAGCTGTAAAGTTTGGGAAGTACTGATTAACCCTTTCCATAGGTGAAAGGCCATGTCATCACATTTGTTGACTCACATTGAAAATTTTATTGAACTACCATTTCATGAATTTGTGTAAATAAGTTTGGTATAAACTGTAGATTATAATTCAAATTTTAGTATTATACCTTACTCAATTTTTTACTTTAAAAGTAAATATGAAAAAAAAGTTAAACATCGAGATGTAGGTGTCTCGTGGTATGTTGAATGCAGCACTGATTCAAATTAGATTCTTGTGATGTCAAAATACTAAGGCTATGGTTTCGTACGAATTAGGAACTCAAACTACCGATATTGACAAGCTAGAATATAAAATAAAAGCCTCTTATCTTTACAGTTTGCTAAGATATTGCTCATGTAATAAATCAAACACACAGTGGCATCCTGCCCACGTGTTTCAATTTTCGGAAACACTCCCTCATGTACACTTATGTCTATATATGACATGAATAACCAATCAGAAGCTCAGAATGTACCGCTAGTGGCTTTCTCAGCTATTGTAACATGTTTGGATGCCATTTCTTTCTTTTGAACCAAGATTTCAAGGAGGTAGGTTGTCTTTAGTCTGCTTAAAATTTCATATTTTTTTTAGACCCAAATACAGCTTAGTT